TGCAGTTTTCTGGTGGCAGTAAAAAATTGTTCGTCATTGTCTTGCCTTAAAAAAAATTCCCAGCCAAGTTTACAACCCTGGAATTCCCCAGAGGCCTCCCAGCCAAGTACTACCCAGACCTAACCCTGTCTTGCTTCCAGGTTCAGACAAAGTTGGTCAGGTGGTACCTATTGAGACAATGGAATACTGACTATTATCAAATGCATATTTAAACATACATGTATAAATAACAAATGTACCTATTTATTTATGCACAAGACTAATGATTGAGAGATATCCATGTAAAGAATGGCCTGGGAGCAGCACACACTACTTTAATTTCAAATATGTGGAGGCTTTGCAGTTGCATTTGAGCGCTCAGCATCACCTTCCCTTAACCTGGTGCCCTCCTTAGAATTCAATTTCCATAAATCCAAGCCAGAAAGGCCAACAGCTGGAATGAGTCCAAAACAACTAGAGGCACAGTTTCTCAGGGGCAACTCTCTATGTGGCTCCAAACTACACCCACTCACCAAATAACACCCAAGTATAATTAGCTTTTTAACGTGCTGATATTCATTCAAATGCAATAACTCCTTTAAAGCAGAACATTATCAGTGCCTCTTTATTAAAGGGATGGGAATGAAAGCCTAACTATACATTCTCTTAGGAAAAGTATAATTATCACATTTTAATTTAACTTCAATCCTATGGATTGTTTAACAAAAATTTCACTAAAATTCCCTTTCCTGTGAAGAAGTTTATATTAGGAAAAGACTCACCATTGGCATCACTAAGAGATTGACACTTGATCCTAAAAAAACAATAACAACCAAGTTTAGACAGAACACACAGTCCTGAACTCCAACCTCACTGCTCATTTCCATAATCACATTATCCTATAATAACATCCTCTTCATGGTCGCTTCCTTATGCCCACGTGAGCCAGCCTAAGGCTTCCACTTTAGAGGGCTCCCAAAGAGATAAACTGTATGCTTAGCAAAACCACCTTGCTCACTGTGGTCAAAGCAGAAAAGGCATTACAGGTAAAAGCTTTATACAGTGCAATTGCCCTGTCTCAATTACAGAATGTTAGGTAAGTTCTGCCTCGTTTTCTCATTACATCTACCTTTTTACTTTCTTGAGAAAATACAAAAGGGAAAGATGGGGTAGATGCACAATGTCCTTTGATGGCAATGCTAGGAACTATCATCTGGAAACATCCTCTGCCTGGTTCACACAATACAGTTCACACGCTATGCCGAAATCTGGTTTTTGGTTTGGGCTTATCATGATGTTTGAATGGATTAGCATTAAGAATGAAACAAATCACTGTGGTTTGTTCAACAAATGGTAAATAAAGCAAACTGTGGCTTAGTGTAGGGATGGACTACAACCATTCCTGGCAAAATTCTGTCATCTTTTTTTCTCGGCCCTTCAAATCCCCTTTGAACTAAATTGTCAAAAATCGGTAGGAGGGTTTCCCATCATTTTGACATGGAAACATATGAAATCTGTAATGTAATCCTTAAAACAGGTTCAACATAATTAAGAAAGACTCCATGAACCTTCCCACTTATTGAACCCAATTAAAAAAGGAAAATCTTTCCACCAGCCCTTTTATTGTTCCATTCAATGTGGCTTTCTCTTTCCAAAATAGAAGTGGCCTCTGGCAACCAAAACATTGCCTACCTCTAAATTGGTGCAGTACATGAATTCAGCCAAAATGAAGCTTTGAACGCTGAACCTTCAAACCATAGAGCTTGGTTAAGCAGTTACTAGATTTACCTAACAAGACAAAATGGCAATTGCTGTGCTCTATTTATGGTCTCTAAAAAGGTTCTTAAATTGCCCACTTTTCTAATTGGAAGAGGAGATGTTTGAACTAACACTTAGCTCCTTTCTTTCGCTATTTGAAATGGACTCTCCATCTTGAGCAGTAACTAAACATATATAGTCCAACTCAATTATTTGAAAAGTCAGAAAGATGGATAGACATCTTATTCTGCAAAACTTAAGAGAAACACATAAAATAACAAAAAAACAGAAGCTCACTGGAATCCTTGATTTGCCAAAAAGAAGAAAAAGGATATTAAGTAATAAAAACATAACTGTAAACTTGTATGCTAGACTTCTTTCTGTATGAAGTTCCTGTCAATTTATTACCCCAACCCCTTGAAATCTCTGAAATCAACTCACACAGAACAAATTTACTGTGCTGTTTGAAAATGGGAGCAAGTCCAGTTGAACAAATTGGGAATTACATTGAGTATACATGCATAAGACAATACATTTTGTGAAAGATATGTGACTCGCTATACATCTCGATCTGCTGGTATCCACAGAATTTTTTGATGCAGTGCTGTGGACAGATCATAGGAACAAGGAAGTATGCAGAAAATTTTACCAATTTTGCTTGGCTGCATTGCTATTTATTTTAAATGTAAAAAGGACAATTTTGCACATGTTCTTGCAGGAATGCTGATAAATAGTTATGACAGTGCCCTGTAATTGCTACTGGGCATGTATTTGTTTTCTTTCCACTAAGTCAGGAGGAAGCCAAAGTTACCCCAGTCTGTATCGGAAATGTCAAAGTAGGGTGCTGTTTGTTTTGAAAAGCAGATCGCTCAGGGCAGCAAGCCAAGACAAAATTGCCCTTGGCCTTCTCCACATCGTCCAAGGGCACCAGGCTTTAGCAGAGCCACAGAAACTCTGGCACACTGGAGACCCTCAGAGGCAGGGTCATGGGAGAGTTTAACAGCCTTGGGTAATGTTCTTCACTTATGGATCTCCAGAGCAACCCTCTAAGGTAATATTTACTTAGCAAAAGCAAACTTTGACATACAAATGCCGGAAGGAACATTTGCTCAGGTAAGGGGGTCAGGGTTGCTTGGAGATTTTCCTTCCTCCTTCACTTTTGGCTGCTTCTTTGCTCCAACTGGAACTTAAATGGATTTTTTGTCTTCTACGCCTTTAAAATCACTCCAGTGACTAGGAGCTTGAGAAGGAAGATGCTGTACATAATTGCTGGGGTCCTTCTAACAATTACAAATCGCATGAGATGAGTAAAGGCAGACACTGTAAAGTCAAACGGGAATGGAAGATCTTGTCAAATGTTTTATTCAGGTACATAAGCTGATGAAAACTGGAACTGTAACACACTGGAGGTTAATGTAAAAAGGGAAGTTAAATTACAGTACAAATACTCTGAAAGTATCTGTCAAGCAAACACTACAGCCAAAAGCTAAAACGTTGAGGAGTTCTAGAGCCCAGATGGTTAAAAAAAATAGGAAATTAACTAGGTTAGGCTTTTGGTTACAATACTAAGCTCTTTGCTATGCTTTATCATACCAGCTTATTAACAATTGTGTCATGTGCAAACCTCTAGAAAGCCAAAACACATGGGTAGGTACTATTAGACTATCTTGGAGCCTCAAGACTTAAATTCATTTCCCCTCTTTGCTGTTAATTGGTTGCATAGCTTGAAATAATAAAGCTTGACTTTTCCTTGAACTACCTTTAAACCCAAGTGGAACATGGGGCACTAATAATTTTACATTTTTACTCCTGGTAGATATTGTATGCACCTGTATGTACCTGTCTGTACCTGCGCACATGTATGAGAACCTCTGACTATTTTTCTTTGAAAAAGTGATGCCATCCCTGGTCCAATCCATTTAGGTCAGGTTTTGCACAGGCAGCCTGATATTTAACTCTCCCCATTACCCAAGGGTTCCCCTAACACACACTGAGCACAGCTATTTACCAAAACTCTGGCATAATTCCTAAAACTAACTAAAGCAGTGGACAAAGGATATCCACCTCCATGTAAGAATAAACATATGTTGAAAAATGAAAATAATTATGGCAATATTATTATGCAAAACATCCCACCTATGGCTCAAAGAATATGAATATGTTTGAGTCTGACCCACTTTGTGTGTTGGGAGGGCAGGTTGGATAAAACTACAGCATTGAAAAAGCTGAGAAAAACAAGCATTCCTCAACTGCTCTCCCTATGTATGTAAATATATATGATTATAAATGCACACTTCAATGATAAATCAGAGCCATATACTATCAAATGCTCACAAAATAAATATCCACTGGTTTTTGCATGATTTTAAATGACTTTTCACTGGGATATGTACAATACTGTATTTTTCCTTCTTCACCAGCTGTTGCAAAATTAGTTAATAGATGTTGCTATAACATTTCCCATATGGTTAAATACATAAGAGTTAACATTACTATTTTAAGTGCTAAGGATACTACAAAACATCAAAAAATTAGCATTTCCATCCTACTTATGGGTAACAATTGTCTCAATATTTGTAGATGGATTCACATATTATGTAGCCACAGGCAACGGAAGTCAAAAGTGTCAAAATGGCAGGCATGTCTGGGCAATCAAAACCCCACTCCTTTTCAATATGTGTTGCATGCATGTAAAAAGGGGTGGGGCTTTGATCTCCCAGTCACTCCCACCATTCGGATGCTGTTGACCCCTGGCATGGAGACCCCTGCATATAATTCACTGAGATTTGTAAGCAACAGTTCAGATTTAGTGTGTTGCGAGAATGCAGCCACTTATTCTTTCCAACCTAACAGAAAGCTGGAAAGAAATTATGTAAAGGGGGTCAGGGCTCTGTTGTCCGTCTGCCTGCTTGTCTGCCTGCCTGCCTGCCTGCCTGCAGGCTAACTCTTTGAGAATGGAATGGGCCAAGTTTGGTGCGGGAGAGAAATCCTCCAAATTTCCTCCAATGCACTCTTATACATCAGAGCAGGTATCAGAATGTTGGTGATCGTTCCCTTCCTCCTTTCATCGGGAGTATATGTAGTTTGTCCCATGCTTTCTAGTGCCCGCATACACTCAAATATATGGCCATTGCTGGTAAAAGGATAGGAAAGAATTCCAGAATCCATGTTCTGTATAGCTCTCTACCTTGGTTTTTATTCAGTAAAGACGGGGAGCTGAGTTAGGTCTAGTCTGAATATATGATCTACAAAGAATGAATACTCTGTATGGCTCCTTAAATTCCAGAAATAAAGTCTGCACCCGGGGCAATTTTCATATGTCAAGGAAATATACCAATTATTAGACAGAAATTGGATCACTGGACATAAGTCACACTTCAACTTTGCTTTGGCAGAATATTTAAGCACCTTTTAAGTATCCATCAAAGCACCTGAATGCACAACACCTTAAAGTTTTTTGTGCCAAATTATGCTGCAAGTGGAGGGCTCCTGTTACTTCACTGCTGAGCAACAAATCTGGTTCACACAAACAACTGACTGTCTATGAAAACAGACCATGCACATTTTGAATAGATCAAATATTGGGGAACCAAGTTCTCACCCAGTTTTTTGTCCAGTGTGATAATTTTGCAGTGTAAGAAACCAGATGAATATACACTTTCTCTCAGACTGATTGGTGCCATTTAGAAATAACATTACCCCTTGTTGCTTACATGAATTAGGCCAAAGAGCGCTTACAGATAAAAGTCTCTTAGCAGTCAATCTGAAGCTTCCTGCAACATTTCTAAAATTGAGTTGGAGGAGAAGGAGGAGGAGGAGGAGGAGAACTGGGAAATTAACAGCTGGGAGATTATATCACCTGGATGGCCATATATTCTGTGATTTTAAAATAAAAACTGCGTCTGGAAGCAACCTTTCTTTCCAAAGGTACCCACAGTTATCTGTACCCACATTGCAATAAGCCATCTTGTGGTTTGTTTTGTTTTGGCTTAGCAGCTTATGAGAACCCAAACATTGCGTTTTGTAAACTATGGTTTATGGGTTAACATTACATGCGAACCCAGCTAATAATGGCTTATTCCACAAACTATGGTTAACCAAACAATGGACTGGTGATGCATGAACCTAGTCAATAAAAGTATGGAACAGATATGAGTTTCAATCTACCTTCCTGCCCTAAGACAGTATATTTCCATGCCCTCTCTCTTTTTTGGCAAGGCATACTTTTAGGTTTTGGCTATCATTTTGCCCAGTCAGAGTGCTCCTATATAAGCCCAGATAAATCCTCTGGGTAAGTTTCTTTGGTTTTTCATCAAATTTCTACCAACTTACTTTCATTCACACATGAGTGGGCACTGTTTAATTGAGAGCCTGCAGGGGAGAGAAAACAGAAAAATCATGGAGGAAATATTTCCAAGAAATACATGCCGACATATGCATTTCAGTAGCTTAAAAGACATCAAATGGAAATATAATCTGATGTGCAACTAGGTTTTAGTTGCTTTTCCTTGAACTTTTGGAGGGAAAATATGCACTTTCTTTTATTATTCCCATTTATTTTTCTAGCATATTGAAAGCATTACACCTCAACTTTAATCAATTCCACTAAAGTAACATAACAAAAATGACCAGTTACAGCAAAAGGATCATTGAAGGAAACAGAATTTTCTATACCTTGATTGTCACTTTCCCTTTTAAGTAACAGTTGGATGAATACATCCAAGGTGTGGTTTTATTATACATTTCTTTCGTATTTTTAGCATGCAGAGAAGCAGGAAGAACCATTTACATGGATCAAATGCTTGCAGGAAAGAACCAAAAGGAGAAGAGACTTTGTTGAATAAATAGCTGTATCAGATGCAACATGGTCAGCTCCCCACCAGGAGCATATGGCTCCATAACAAAATTTCCCATATCTTAAAATATATTGTTCCAAGGTTTCTCTGAAGTAAAGATTGTGCAGTATATTGTAAACCTAAAAATAACTTTGCAAGCATAATCAAATCTGCAACAAGTGAACAAAGCTGTGTTCTGTCAACAGGCTATTCAGTCCATCAAGTTCCATACGCTCCATCCTAATTAGACCCTGATTCTTTAGGAACTGATTTAGAGGCCCTTCCCATCATCTTTCATTGGAGATAAGCCTGGGACCTTCTGCATTTGACGTATACAGTGGTAGATCCTACCACTGACTTCCAGGCTAAAAGCCTCTTGGTACTTTAAGATGAGAGAAATGGCTATGGGGAAGAAGGTAAGCAAGCCCCAACACCGGGTTAACATCACTGACTGTGTTTGGCCCACTAATGTGGCTAAGTAATGTTCTCTCTCCATTATTATCCATCCTGAACTCAAAAAGGTAAGGCACTGTCCACTATGCTTTATAGAGTCTGAATGATGACAAGGATATTAAAACCCAGTTCTGGTAAAACAAAATCTGTCGTCTCTTTTTTAATGGAACATGACCATACCTTTCCATAAAATATTCATCTTTCCCTACCATACATCCCTCCTTCATCTATGACAGATTCAAGTATTTCAGCAAGTGGTAATATTTATAAATTATCATCCAAGCTAGACAGATGGACAAGAGTAGAAATCTGGCACAGTAAAGTAACTGAGCTTTCCCGTGCATGCCAGCAACTCAAGGCAGAGCTCATCAATGAGTTGAATCACGAGCCGGAACCCTTGGGCCAAAGCCCAAACCACATGTAAGCTTAAATGTGCGCAAAGAGTACCAGCATGGACAGATGTTTCTCTTGCCCCACTGGAGTGGGCAACTTCCTGAAAGTGTGGGAAAAGCAGGACCTGCAAAATAGGGAACACGCATCAGTAGATATGTACCTAATGGAGTGCTGTCCACTGAGAACTAGCATTGTACACCTTCAAGTAAAATCAGTTGGGATTTGTGTTACAAAAGCACATGGTGACCTTTACTTTTGGTATAGAATGTTACAAAATAAAAATGCCCAGTACTGCCAAAGGAAACCACCAACATCTCACATTATTGATATACTGACAAGATAAGGAAATACTTGACTGGAAAAAAAACTTATTGTAGATCTTTGAGGGTGACTCTCAGTGGCATATGCCAAACTCACAGCTGACTGCTCTGACCTTCCAGCCATTTTCTCTTTTCCTTAAATGTAGCTCAACCCCAAACTTGAATAGGATGTGTGTGTGTGTATATAAAACTTCAACTGTTATTACTCAAAATATATGTGACAATGCATGATTGAATGTTACCTCTTATCCCTGGCACTCAAACCATGCCAGGGATAAGACTAAGATGAAATTCATCTCCCATTTCCAGCACCCAACTGCATGCTTTTAAAAAACATATGCTTTATTATCCTCTTGTCAGCAGTGTACAGATCAGGAACAGATTATCAATGGACTGATGTTGAAGAACAAGGATGGTAACCCACTGCCCACATGCCATATGCAACTCCAGAGCAATAATTTTGTGGCTCTTGGGGCCCCATTTCCTGAGTGTGCTACTAACCTGTGGAGGTAGTCATTTACTCCTGGCTTGCTTTAATACTGGCTTAATGGTTAGGAGGTGCAGGGTTCATTTTAAAAGACGATCTTGCTTGTAATTAATGTTGCCCTGGCTGTAAATACTACAGCAAAAGCACATGTGGCCCTTGGACACTAAATATTCCCCAGTCCTGCCTTAAAACAACTACAGAAAGATAGCGTTGCAAGTTCTCTAACAATTCTAAAACAAGCATTATGGAGAAAAAGAAACCTCTGAAATTCATGTAGTTACAACATATTCATTTGAGTGGGAATGGAAACAAAAAATATTGTGGCTTTCAATAATTAGAATCAAAAGGAAATTGTGCTCTCTGATTAGGCAAAGATCAAGCACTGTTAAACAAGATTATCTACTCTATAAATATATGTTCCACTCTTTAGAGTAGAGAATTTAGAAATAAAGCTAAATTTCATTCTATTACTAATACCAGAACTGAGTGAACAAATCACAACCTTTTCTATCTTGTAAGTAGTTAAATTGACACTGTTATCTGCCAATTTATGATATGCTAAAATCATTACATCTGTGTAGCAATACAATTTATTATGATGTTAAGTTTTGTGAATCAGAATTTACCTCAACAGATGAATTAAGTGTAAGCCTAAACTGGTGTTTTTAGGGTGTGTGTCACAGACACTTTTTTAAAAAGACAGACAGATGAAGAGAGGGATGGAAAATATGCCAGATTTTATATGGAACCAAAGAGATACAGGTAGTCCTTGTTTAGCGACCACAACTGACAACTCGATCGTTAAGCGAAACAGTCACTAAGTGAAACCACAATGGTGCTTATGATCTTACTTCAGCTTTCTTTTGATTTACAGACCTGCAAAGGTCATAAATGCAAGGATCAGTTGAAAAGTTACTTTTTCATCACCGTTGAAACTGTGTACAGTCACTGCATCAGGCAGTTGCTAAATGAGCACTACCTGTACTTTCATAGAACAGACACTAAGATTTCTGTATTTTCTGTAAAAAAGGGAAAATACATTATCATCTTCTCTCAAACGAGCATTAGATCCCTGCTTCTGAAATAGTAAATTTTTGGCAGAAAATACACTTACTGTATATTCAAATAAATTATACTGTCCTGCATTAGACTTCACAAGGAAGCCAGCATTTGTACCTGTCACATTGGTCTCAAAGTACCTTCCCCCATATAGCTCTGCAACAAGGCCTTCACAATCCAACGAACACAAAGTTATAAATAGAAATTATAGAACAAGCAAGAAAAAAATATTATACATTCTTCAGATTGCACATGCAGAGAACTAAACCTAATAGAATGTATGCTTTAGCAACTTTGCTTAGAATTATACTACAAGAATAATAGTGCCTCAGTGGTTAAGTGTCCTCTCTCATAAGGGATACTTTCAACAGAACAAGGATTTCCATTCTTCATAAATATGGCGCTATGATCCATCCCTTGGTTTCTAACATTCTGCAAACCTACACTGTTTTCTGCCTTAATTGCCAGGACTTTTCGTTCTGGAAATTAGTATGAACAGGAATGTGATGAAAAACAGTGAAATATCCAAAAGTCTAATTACCATATAACTTGTTCACTAAGAAAGGCCCAGGCAATTTGTTCAGACTCAAGAATCATGCTGGAAAAGTACTGTGAATGAAACGCATACAAGCATTTGCACATTTATTTGCACGCCGTTAGACAAATCACATCTTCCGAGATAAGTGAACTGGGGGGGAGGGCTCTAAGTTGTAGTTGGCTAAAATTAAATTTCAGGTCCTCTACCTAATCCGTTAACTTAGAATCTTGAAATTTGAATGCAAATCTAAGTTAAATATTACTTTCCTTCAGGCCATCTAACCTTTTGATAATATTGCAGTTATGTTTTCAAGCTCATCCCTATAGCTACAAGGAACAGAAAGCATGTCTCCTTTAAAAGAAAACAAAAAAACCAAGCTGAAATTCTGAAAGATTTCCAAGGGATTCATAAAAACAAATTGGAACCTGCATAAAACTATAGACTGTTACTCCCTATCCCAAAAAGCGAATAACATACTAAATTATTGGGATAGAACTAATTCTAAACTATAACTCTGGGAAGAGTCACAAAGATAAAGCATGAGGCTCACTGCTAAGATGTCACCTATGGTAACCTATCACTCATCAGCGGTGAGGAACTGGTATGTCACAACAATTATAGTTCGTTATCTGATACAGGGGGTGGGAGGGAGGAAGTTTTAAACACATCTGAATGTATTTGCAGGCAAAATACATGAGTGTTTATGTATACATGTACATGTGTAGAGAGAACTGTTACTCTGTAGTTGATTAAATATCCTGATTCAAAACCAACAGGTTCCGTTCTGAACTCCAGGTAACGTTCTCCTTAATTATATACCTATTCATGGAGCCAAGAGAAAAACTCCAAGAACACAGGTTATATACCCCTACAGAATCAAAGAAGCTGATCAGGCTGTCTGGTCAGAACACCTATCTTCTTAAGGTTAAAAAAAGTTTGTTTCAAGTAAAGCTGAAGTCCTGCATTTTTTTGAGGGGGGGCACAATAATATGGAAGTGGTTTGCCATTCTTTGACTTTCCAGTCTAGCCCATAACTATGGATTTCCTGGTGGTCTCCTGTCCAAACATTAATCTGCTCTGATCACTCTTAGATTTTCAAGACCAGCCAAATGTGGCTAGGTGCTGCCACCTAGCAGTGCTTCACCTAGAAGGCAGATGATAAAATGATTATGCAACAGTTCTCAAGTTCTACAGTCATCAAATAACAACAAAGTTATGAGAGAGTAGAATCTGTAAGTTACTGTTATATAATGCAGTACCAAGAGATCAAAGTCTTTGCTCACTTGTCAAGAAGATTTCCACATTTCCAATTGCAAATGGACACAAGGAGCAACCTACCTCACAAGCATGATCTCTAAAAGAGTACAGCAGTTAGGACAATTATAAATTATTTGCAGGATGTTGAGACATCACAAAAGAGGTTTATTCATTCCCCAAGGCACAGTAAAAACTCATGTTATACTCACAGTAGCCCAACCAGAAATTATTAAGAAGAAGATACAATGGAGATTATTTTAACTTATTTTGTTACTCCATTAAGGGTCTGTATCTTTAAACAGCTGCATAACCAGCATAAATTAAACAGCTTTCTCAAAGACAGAGGTGAAATGATGGAAGGAAAATAATGTCTTATAAATCTACTTCTGCTAAGCAACTGCTAATGATACACAGTCCTTCATAAGAGAAAATATGGCCAAGTTAAGACAGCCTATCCCAGCCTGGCCCCACAGACTTTTAGAATTGAGGTCCCAACACCTCTGCAAGGCTGCACTGAGAAGCATATTCTGCACATACCAACATCCTTAGAACTGTCACCTTAAAACATACACGTACACCCTAGTTTCCTGCTCTTACATCTTCTAGAATTACCAGATCCACGGCACTTCCCTTCATTGCTATTTTCCTACTATGAAAAGGATCACCTGCTACCTTTCTATGGTTTTAGGACTCTTTGAAAGCCCCAAACACACTTAGCTTAAAGAGAACTTTTCAAGCAAGAGAAACAGACAAAAAATCTATAGCAGCATATTTTTTCAGATGGAACTATGGTGGTAAAGCATAGTTTGTTAATTATTGCCCGTTATAACTTAAAAGCTACACCAGGCTCGAGAGAGGAAGCAACTGAAATTTCATAAGTTATGTTATCCAGAAAGAAAGCAATGCGCTTGTGAAAGTTGAGGGGAGTCAGCCTAATTCCTTTGCTCTGCACAGGAATACCACTCAATAAGTGTTTGCAGTAGTAGATAACCCGCTTCTAACCATCTCCAATTTCCTTCCTTGCCGAGATCCCCCAAAGAAACCCCCATTCTGAGAAGCCCTGGATCCTTTTACGCCACTTGGCTGGGAATAAGACCAAATGCCCACCGTGTTATCTCCCGTCACTCTTTCTACAGCGCCCCTTTCCACCTACCTCGTTGGGGAGCGAGAGGTCAGGTGCAGAAAACACGCGTCCGGGAACACTTTCTAGCGCCATTGCGCTAATCCCGGTTTAAAGAAATGTGTGCCAAGGTCAAGTTGCCAGTCGTGGAAGGAAAAGAACTTCTTCGCGGGTTTCGCGGAGAAGAAAAGGCTGCTAACGTCTCCGACAGCCTTACCTGTTCTTTCCAAGCCGAAGGAGCAGCTGGAAGAGAAAGTCAGCCACAGTCCAGCCCAAGCGTGCAAGGCGCGGAGAGGTTTTTGGCAACCCGGAAATGACAGAACACCAACTCGCCGCTCCGAAAAGGTCAGCTGGGGGAACTCTGCGCTTGTACCTTTCCCTCGCGCGCCACGCGTTCCCCCGCAGCCGCTTCGCAGGTGCCGGGAAACGGGGGAGGAGGAGGCTGTGCCTGCAGCGACGCCGCCCCCTTGAGGCGCCCGCGCTGACTCTCGCCTCTCGGCAAGCCGGCCGGGCTTCCAGTCCTCGGGCAGAGGCGCCGAGACCGGGCGACTTCCGAAGAGGTGGATGGCCAGAAGCGCGGCGCGGGCAAAGGGGGGAGCTGGATAAAGGGATCCAGCGGCGCTCCTGAGGGATAGAAGGCCGCGCGAAGAAAGCGCCCCCGTTGTTTGGGGAGGTGGGTCCCCACAATTAGCAGATAAATCAGGTTGAAACCAAGGGGAAGAGGAGGAGTTGCTTAACCTATTGCTTCTTGGGGGTTTCTAGACCAATAACCCTGAGAGCTCTTGCTTTTCCAAAGTCATGAAATCTTGGAGCCACAATCTGATCCTCTTATTTATAAAGCCACGATTTGGAGGCGCCCTTCACAAAGCGAGCCTTCAGCTGGCAAAATGGCATGGGAACGGTAACGAAAATTTTTGCACTGGTGTCACACCAGGTCACTACTGTATTCTGAGTCTCAGCACCCTTTTCTGTATACTGATGCATAGGTGACCATGTATCTCCAGCTGTCTTTGGTCTCACACAGTGTTGGATTAAAGCAGGGGTGAGAGACTTCCATTGGCTTCTGCAGTACACAGTGGTAGCACCAAAATGATGTGTAATGATGTATTCATGCAAACACCACAATTATGCACTTGTTTCAGACTGTGTAACGCAAGTATGTCAGTCACAGCATGTGTGGGATTATCATATATGTATCAGTTGCCCCTTTACCCAATCCCCCATAGATGCCCATGCAGTCATCTTCCATTTTATTTTCCACAGGAAAATTAAAGCACCATTCAATGAGTATTCACTAATATTAACGAAAGTATAGGTTCATAATTGTATTCTAAAAGCCACGAAGTGTAGAAAGATGCTGCTGTTCTCTGAAATCCTTGCTACTGATACTGGGTTGCATTAATTAACCAGAACTTTTTCTGTAAATAGGCAATAAGTACCATCTTCCAGAGTCCACCATCTTCTGTTTGCAAGGCAATGAAGGGGTCTTTGGAGTTCTCTGAGCTTGGTTACAACCAAGCTCAGAGAACTCCAAGGACTCCACAGTTCAACCCCAAACTACATATATTCTCTTCTATTGGCTATGAAGGGGGTTGGTCCCATCATTTCACTGTTATGCTATGTCAGCTTGTTATTCCATTCTACTGCTATTGGCTATGATACTGTTCTACTGCTTTGCTATTTAGCTCTTGAGGTAAACCAAGAACAGCCAGGACTGTTGGCTGAGCAGCAGCCTAGCACTGTTGCATACTTAGGGTAGATCAGCTGCCTAGTGGTATTGTGTCCAGCTCCTTATGGACTCAAAAGACAACTGCAGAATGATGAAGATGCGGCTTAGAAAGGTGTGCCCATCCCAGCTTGAAATGGTCAGGAAATACTGTACAGCTCTGAGCCCTACCTTTCATTGATCTTCACCTTTATGTGACAAAAGCAGAAACACTGCTAACACCAGCACAGCTAAGACAATTCAGCAGTGTCTGCAGGATCCTGCTGCTTTTGTCAGGATAAGGAAAGCGGCATTGTAGTGTGCTGCAAAGTCCACCCATTTGGGGCATGTGCCCAACATCACAATGCACATATAAAAGGATGAGGCTTGTATGGTGGTGCTGAGTTTGTCAGTCTCATTCCTCCTGCCCCACGGATACTGATGGGAGAACTGTCTCGTGCATGAGACGTGAAGGTCACGTTATAGGGGCACAGCATGATTGTATTGTTAGGTACAGATGGAGAAAGACCTTGAAGCTAAACAAGGAAACGCATCACAGGTATTTAATTAGTTCCAACCTCACTCTGTATTTTACTCAGACCCTAGCGATTTGGATTGTGGCCTTAATGTGATTCAGGAAGGTGGATGGAACAACTGATACACCTCTGTCAGAAGGTAAACTAGATATTGTTTAGCAGCTCAAGCCAAAGAAGGAGCATATCCCTTCCCAGAAAGACTTGTTGTAAAATTAGTGTACAAAATACTTCCTTCTGGCAAAGAAATGGGTATGTTGCAAACCTTAGTTACTACAGTAATGTAAAGCATGTCTTTAAAAACTTTCTTCTATATTGTCCTCTGGCCAATTTGTGCGATTCCAGGATCAACATTAAGAAAGGAAACTGAACTAAGATAGAAACATGATAGCCTCTTGGCATATTTTTTTCTGCCAAGATCCTGCCAGCTTGCAGATTGAATGAAGGAGGGGCTGATACCAGATGCAGCAGGAGAATCTTAATGGGTCTCTAGGCTTCCCATCCTGGGCTCTGTTCTTTAATCCCAAGAGTTGCTCTTTTAAAACTTTCTCTATATTTGCCCCTTCCCCAGATTACTTCCTACCAACGGCAGAGGAAACCTGGTCATCTTTCTTAGGTAAGCACCACGTTGCATCTTCCTAAGTGCTGCCAAGGCCAAGCTATTTTCTTGAGCAGTTAGTTTCTTCTCACTGCAGAGATGAATAGCCCCTGAAAATACAAGAGGCCAAATGAAATGAAGCAGAGGGCTCCAGAAGCTCTTAAATTAAGTATTCCTTACTCCTGGATTTCAGTGTGCCTAAAAAGACTGGTTCACAAGTCATCTCCATTAGAGTAGACTTTCAACTAGACTTTTGAGGTGGCATTTAATTGTGCTAACCTACTACTGAAATCTATACCACTGGCAGATCTTAATTCTCTCCTCAGAATTGATACTTCAGAATAGATTGAGGGATGATGTTGAGAAATTTAGGAGTCTAAAGAGCACAGGAAGTCTCTTGGATACTTCCTCTAGCTTGTGATGTAGTATAGCCATAATTAGTGTAATGTGAAAACTAAACCAATTGTGGTTTATTCAGTGGCCCAAGGTTGGCAAACCATGGTTTTGTGCAAGGTGTGAATCCAGTTTATATGAAAGCTGGTTTTGCAGATACTGATGTTTTCTTTGTCCTGTGGATGAAAACATGTATGTCACTTTGAAACTTTAGTGGGTTTCTGGAATCATCTTATCTTCTGCATCTAAGTCAGGATAATGCAAGAGCTTATTTACTTTATATATAAACACAAGCTGCCTTTCCTAAATGTTTTTTTTCCATATAGCACTGTCTGTTTTGCCATAATTTAATCACACATTTAAAAACTTCCTTATATTGAATCTGACCATCAGTCAAGTGGCCATGGCTTTCTAAGGTTTCAACAAGGTATTTCACAATCCTACCTGGAAATGGTAGGATTTAAACATGGATATGTTGCATAGCCACGATAAGCACCTCACACCTACCCTATTCTACCACCCCTCTCTCCTGATAGGTTGGAAAAGTCTTGGATTGAAAAGGGAATGGATCCATACCTGGCTCAGGTGGAATTCCTGCATTTATTTGATCTGGCTAATGCAAACTTAGGAGTAACATGGCAATAGTGACTTGATGAGGAATCCAGTGAAGCTGAGTAACAAGTTGTGGCTGTAAGTCCTAATGGGTGACTGTGTTGCAAAGAGCAACTTGTGAGAATGGCGTAGTGCTGCAGATCACACAAGGCATCTTGGAACCAGCCAGATTTCTAGTCTTGGTGTTTGCTTCTTGCCAACTGAATCAAACACACCTGACTTTCAGAAAATATCAGCTGACTGCAGCTATGAACACGAAGCATGAGTAAATACAAATCACATTTCAGTTCAATAGGTTTAGAAAGTATTTTATTAGGGAGATATATATTTTAAAAGAATAAATATTTAGCACATTTCCAGTAAAACACACAGAAGGAAGGAACTGAGGGTATGGATAATGCAAAGCATGAAGAAAATTAACTTTCAAGAATGACAGTCAGAATGCTACCTAATTATGGTTGTCATATTTTTGATTAGCTTTCCTCACTACACTTGTTGCTTCTCTAATGCAACGAAAGTAAAGACCTGTATTATTTAGTAGCAAGAGCTAAAAATGAGCTATTACAATCTGACCAACAGCATTGGATCATGACCAACTCCCACTCCCAAAATAGAATAGAGTTCTTGTGTGCAATTTTTTTTTTTTTTGGGCTACATTTTTTGCAAAAAGATTCTCATTCTCTGTTTGGCATGTTAGCTTTCCTATGGCTTACAGAAAGAGCAAGGTAAATCAGTTTGCTTTTCACAGTGATTAGTTCAGCCTTAGTGGTGTCAACAACTTAAAAGCTATTACAGAATCAAGAAGGCTGGGCAGAATGTGAATAGCAGGGGAATGGGTGCCATAAAGATGACAGCAGTAGCAAGTTATGAACTCCTTGGCATTCTAAAAGAAGGCACTGTGGAATCTTGAACGTGCTGCTATACTACAGCTGTGTGCAACTTATCAAGTCAAGCTTCTCTTCCATCAGCTTCTGATGTAATCAGATGCTGCTTCTCATCTTGAGCAAATATCTATCTGCCAAGTCAAACAAGGTGATGTAAATTGTTATCAGTTTTGGTTCAAAAGAGTTTCAAATCTGACACATCAAATTCCTTTTTTAAAAAAAGAACTGGAGGTGGCTGGTTGGCTTCACCCTATGGGTACTTTGCTGGGTCTAGCTTTTGTTTTATTATGACTAAAGCTGAAATCAGCTTGGAACACTGCCTATGAACCAATTTTAAGTTCAAGATTTTAAAAGAAAAGCAATTTGTGTGTGTGTGTGTGCTGTCAAATTTCAGTACATATTGCAATACTAGTTTTTGGCACTAACATTTGAACGTACACTTTAAACATAAAATTAAAATCAGATAGTTTGATGTTTTGTTTTATAAAACCAACTACTTTTAAAATCCTGATTATTTTCAACCTGTAAGATAGCTAGCTAAGAAGAGGCTCTCTAAATTACAATACAGTGTATTAGCAACAAATGGAATCCCAGCATTACGGTAAACTGGATCTGAAGCAGCAGTAGCAGCTTAAAATGAAAAAGAAAGTCTTTATAATTATGCAATACATTTCCAAATAGAGTATAGTGTTGAATAACTTCGTGGTTATAGACATGCAAACACCAGCACATTTTCATCTTAGAGACAAGTGACATTTACATTACAGTTTTAAGGGAGGGGGGAGAAACTTGGGTGCCTGTTGGAGCTTAGTATACCAAAAGCAGTCATGTTTTTCCAGTTATTTCACAATACAAGAACATTTTCCTCTAACAGAAGTTACTTTGCAGGTTAAACAGATAATTGTTTGCTTAACAAAGAGAAATATCTAGGTCAATGTTTCTCAACCTTGGCCATTTTAAGATGTGTGGACT